TTCCTTTTTTTAGTTTATTCAAAAGTTATGAGCATAATATTAAGAAAAAAATATTATAATAATTAGTAATGATGAATTTAGAGAAAAAAACTTTAAAATGATTATTTTCACCCAAGTGGCAGTCTAATATCAATTCATTTGGTGGTGTTAGAACAAAACTAAAACAAAAGAAAAACAGTTAATAAACAACAAAATTAACTATTTGGAAAAACTTCAAAAATCTCATGCTACAAAATAAATAAAAAAATAAAATAATTAACGAAAAAGTAAGAAAAAGAAAAACATTAACAAAGGCATAGCTATAAATACGTAGACAATTTTTTCTTTTAAAAAAATAATGATAGAAAACAAAAACTAATCTAAAGAATCTCATAAAATTCCTCACCACTTACCTTGCTATCCTTATCTCTCAAAACTCAATTATATATTTTAATCTTCTACCTATATAATAGGAAATACAAAAGTGTCACCCATCACAAAAAATCTCAATTCAAATTTTGAGTTTATATAAAATGAATTTAGTATTTCAAATCAATATTTTGTAGGGCTGGGCATTCGGTAATTCGATTCGATTTCGATTTTTTTTTTTTGATTTTTCGGTTTTCAGTTCTTGTACCATGTGTACCGAACACCGAACCGAATTATTTCGGTTCGATTCGGTTTTTATTATTTCGATTCGATTTTTGTTAGTTCGGTTTTTTGTTTTGAGCCTGCTTAGTGAGCTTTTAAAAATATTAAGCATTTCAAGCAACAGAAGAAGGTTTCCTCTCTGTCTTGTTGGAGTTATCTGCAGTGTAATCTTATATGTAGCCAACCTTGGTAACTCGAGGGCAGTCTTAGGGAGACTTCTCAGATCAACTGGAGGCTGGCGGCTGGCCGGCTGCTGCCTGCTGGTCGATGCGACGATGCCGGTCGCCGAAAGTGGGAAAGCGTTAAGGGACGGTGAAAGGCTGAAAGCGGCGCTGTTAAGTCAGTTGAAGAAAAAGAATACTGAAAAGTGAAGCGTAATACCTAATTGACTAATTCAATTATGCATATAAAATTTATTATTTAATAATTAATATAAAAACTTCCATATGTAAAGTCCAATATCCATATCGATTCCAAACTTGTTCAAGGTTCCTCCTTAGAGAAATAACTATGTTGTAGGAAAAACTCTTCCTCCTGAATTAGGATTTTAATGTCCAAGTTGTAGAAGTGATCCAGCAGCTTCAAAATATCATCAGGAGCAAATTGCCTATTAAAGCTTCTATCTCTATTAAGTTATAAAAGAAAAAATAACGATTGATGTGTAATGTCTCATTTCTTGTGATTTTTTTTAAAAATGCGAAATGAGCATTTTGCCTTTCCGGATAGTGTTTTCAAGCTTATTTTGTGTTTCGAGAATGGTTGGTGACTGGTGAGGTCCCTGATGCGATCGAGTGTGTTTTTGGTAATTTGATCCCTCTTGAGCAGAGAGTTCTTGATAGGGTTGACTTTGGTCAACATTTTGAGTTCTGAGCGTCGGATAGGAATTTCGTCAGTTTCATCGCTTCTGAAACGTCGAGTTTGAGCTAGTAGGGTGGTTGGTAAGGTTTTCGAGGCCTTAGGTTGAGAGTTGGGCGTTTAGGAGAGAAGTTGATCTTTAGGCCTAAAGAAATGTCCGAGAGGGTATTTTTGTCTAAATGATCTTTCTTTGGAAATCCAAAGATTTCATTGAGTCCGGAATGTCGACTTTAGTGGGGTAGCATAATTGATTTATTTTTATCGGGTCTCGAATAAATCCTAAGGGTCCGTTTGGAGATTTTAATAAGTTGGAGATTATATTGTGTTGCCCTACTGAGTACTTTTGGGTTGTTCTCACCACTACTTCTGAATCATTTTTTATGCAGATTCTAGTTAGGGTACTCCCCGCGGTGGCTGATCATTTGTAGCTTCGGAGATCTTTTCAGAGTAGAGGTGAGATCTTGTTTTTGGATCAACATTAGTTCCATCTGATATTTTCAGTCTTTATTTATTATCGGATACTTATGATGTGTTTCATACTCTAGTTGTATTAGATGCTCTTTATACTTCTGCTACCTGGTTTTGGGAAATTCTTTGTTGTTCTTTTCTATCGTTTGTGGCCTGACCACCCTTTTGGAGTCTCGTATGTGTGTTGTTTTTTTATTACACACTTTTTTTGGGGGGGGGGGGGAGTTGGAGTGTGTGCCATCATAACCTCAACTTTTGGATCGTAACAAAAGGCCTCTCAATTTGACAAGGGGACATATTTCAAGATACTCGAACAATCTTATCTCCAATTCCACCTGTCATTATTCCTTGAGAAGAACATATCTTGTATTGTTTATTTAAAGTAGAATAAATACCAAAACTCCATTCAACTATAGAATTTCTTTTAATTCTCATATCCAACTATATCTCACTTTCATTAAGATGCAAATAGCGTCAATAAAATATGAAATATTAAATACTAAATAATTGCAGGTAGAGGTGTTCACGGGTCGGTTTGGATCGTTTATTGGTAAAAATCAAAATCACACCAAATTAATCGATTTTAAAATTATCAAGACCAAACCAAATCAAATATAATATACATTTATCGGTTTAGTTGTTATCGATTTGGTTCGGTTATTTAGTTATTGACCATACAAAATAAAATAAAATAAACAATTCATTCAAAACGTGATAAATGTGACAACAATCCATTCAAAACCAAAAATAGTTAGAATGACTGACATTATAGAAATTTCTATCATTGAATTTACGAATAAAGTTTTAAAATTCACCATTTTTGCCTAGTCTAGAAGGAAAGGACAGTGACATTTTCAATCCCACAAAAATATTGTCATAGACACTAAAACCCTAAGTGTTTTTTAGAATTGTGTAAACTGATCTAAGTCAGTTTAGACCCCTAAAATATTACTAAAAACGTTTAAAGATAATGGGGTAAAGAAAAGACCAAAATACCCCTCTTTAATTCGGATGAACTTTCCTTAATCGGACAGGCTGAACTCAAACGGGATTATCTCCCTCATTCGGACTCGAAACTTAGCAAACTCAGTGGCGTTGGAAAGAGGACTCAAAGACCTTTCATTTAATACCTTATGTGCCACCTAACTCATTATGCACCGAAAGTTATGGTCATTTGAAGGCTCAAATTAGATCTTTCCAATTTAGATCTTTCTAAAAATAGCTCTTTCTAAGATCGAGGTGTTATAATATCTCCACCTTGAGAACATTCGTCCTTGAATGAGATCACTCTAAGTAGAACCAAGGGTGGAAATATCTAACACCTAGGTCTAACACCAATATGCAATTTAACACAACATACCATATCAACTTAAAAAGTGTTTTACAAAAAGTCATTACCTTGGTCTGGAATTTTTATGGAAGAGAAGAGATGTGGGTATTTATTCTTCATATCCTCCTCAGCCTCCCAAGTAGCTTCTTCAACAAACTAATTTCTCCATAGGACCTTGACTGATGCAACCTCCTTGGTTCTCAACTTGCGAACCTGAAGATCAAGTATTTCAATGGGTATCTCCTCATAAGATAGGTTGTCCTTAATACCAATATTTTCAGTAGGTATAATAAGTGAAGGATCGCCCATATACTTCTTCAACATTGAAATGTGAAATACCGGATGGACTGCTGCTAACTCTAACGGTAGGTCCAACTCATATGCTATATTGCCAATCCTCTTGGATATCTTGTAACGACTAATATACCGGGGACTAAACTTCTCCTTCTTATCACATCTCCTAACACCCGGGTGACACCTTCAAGTAAACTCAATCATCCACCTCAAACTTCAAGTCTCTTCTCCTCACATCAATATAGGATTTCTGACGACTTTGTGCTGTTTTCAACCTTCCTTGAATAATCTTCACTTTCTCCATAGCTTGATGAACCAACTCCGGTCCTATCAACCCAGCTTCACCAACCTCAAACCAACTAATAAGAGATCTACATCTTCTCACATAGAGATCCTCATAAGGAGCCATCTGGATTCTAGAGTGATAACTGTTGTTGTAAGCAAACTCAATGAGAGGTAAGTGATCATCCCAATTACCCTTGAAACTGATAACACAAGCCCTCAACATAACATATCCTCTATAGCCTCAACATAATAATTAATAATAATTCTAAGATTATGTCGGGATAAAAAAATTATACGGTAATTTAATCCTAGATATCTCACCTTATTTTGCGTAGCAAAATAAATTGATAGAAGGAGTTTTATACTTGGATTATGGTCCATATTCCATTCTTTTTGGTAAACTCCTGATTATTCTCATCTAAAAGTTTTGCTTGTTTGTGTTTTGTCCATTTCCTTAGACATGAACATCATAAATTATCTGCTAAAGTTGTTAGGTGTGTTTTCCTAGGTTATAATGATGTTCAAAAGGGATATCTTTGTTATAATTCTTCTAGACGACAGTCGTGGGTTTCCAGACATGTAATTTTCTTTGAGCATATGTTTGCTTACCTTATTACCTCTTCAACAAAATTAGACTCTGTTTCCTTTCTGTACAAGTTTGAGAATCAGCAGGTACAAAATCCTACATCTCCCAATGAAGACCCTTGTGGCATTACTGATGATCCTGCTCAATTAGATGCATTTCCTACGGATTATTTAGGTAATAGTACTGTGTCACATAATTCATTGAATACCTCTTTCACTGACTCATTTGACAACAATGATTATTTTGATGGTGAACCTATACCAAGTGACTAGATAAATTCTTCCATCCTTCTCTTCATCACTCTGAACGTAAAACATCTGCCCCTGATCGATATGGATACTCTCCAGGAAGATACAGTCGATCGTATGCCTTACTTGCTACTTTGAATTCTATTTTTGTCCCAACTACTTACCAACATGCATCAAATCTTGACTTCTGGAAAAAGCAATTAAAAAGGAACTTTCTGCTTTAGAATAAAATCATACATGGGATTTGATATCTAAACCGGCTGAAGCTTTTGTTATTGGGAGCAAATGGATTTATTCTATGAAAATGAAGTCTGATGGCACATTGGAGAGGTACAAAGATCGACTAGTAGCTCAAGGATATAAACAAGAATATGGATTGGACTATGAGGAGACTTTTGCTCCTGTTGCAAAGATGACGACAATTCGTGTGTTACTCACTATAGCATCCATCAAACGGTGGAAACTTCATCAAATGATGTGAAAAATGCATTTTTGCATGGTGAACTACATGAGGTTATATACATGAAAGCCTCCCCCAGGGTACAACCAAGCTCAATGTGATATGTTTTGCCGTCTTCGTAAATCTCTTTATGGTCTCAAGCAAGCACCACGTGCATGGTTTGAGAAGTTTCGATCTACCATCATAAATGCTGGATTTTCTCATTGTGTTTCTGATTATTTATTATTCATCCGACACTCCAATACTGGTATGACAATTTTACTGTTGCATGTGGATGATATAATTATAACCGGCAATGATGAGAATGGAATTGTACAATTCAAGAATCTTCTTAATGCAACTTTCAAAATGTAGGACCTTGGCAGGTTAACATATTTTTTGGGGTTGGAGGTTGAATATTTGCAGGATAGTATCATGCTAAGCCAAAGGAAATATGCAGAGGATCTTGTCACACAAGCATGTATAAGGGATCAAAAGGTAGCTCACAAACCTATGGAGATCAATGTGAGGTACAAAAATGATGATGGGGACCCTCCTGCAGAACCAACATTGTACATGAAGCTCATTGGTTGTCTAATCTATTTGACAATAACAAGATCTGACATCTCTTATCCGGTTCAAGTTTTGAGCCAATTTGTTACAAATCCTTGCCAACATCATTTTTTTGCCCTCCTTAGAATCATTCGCTATGTTCAGAGTACAATTAATCGAGGTCTTTTCATTCATTCAACATCATCTCTAAATCTTGAAGGGTATGCAGATTGGACAGGATGTCCAAACTCTTGGAAGTCTACGACAGGATGTTGTATGTTAATCAGATCATCACTTGTCTCATGGAAGTGCAAGAAGCAGCCAAAATTTTCAAAATCATCAACAGAGGCAAAATATAGATCAATGTCAGCTGCTTGTTCTGCAATTGTGTGGATACGTCGATGATGGCAGAACTTCATATATCTGTTGATGGCTCCATTACATTACATGCTGACAATACTAGTGAAATACAAATAGCAGCAAATTCGGTCCACCATGAGAACACAAAGCACATTGAAGTGGACTGCCATTATATTCGAGAACTTGTTGTTGATTAAGTCATTAGTCTTCGACATATCATGTCGCATGATCAATTGGCAGACTTGTTTACAAAAGTGATGACAATGAGTAGACACCAATTCTAATTATCCAAATTAATGCTTCTTGATAAGTAGCATCAATTTGAGAGGGGATGTTGACCATATCAAATATGATTCCAAATCATATCTGATATGATTCCAAATCATATCTGTTATGATTCCAAATATTTGATATGATTCTTAAATACGCGGAACAATATTCTAATTTAACTAAGCACAATCACACCATTGATATTGTGCAAGATATGATATGATATTGTGTTAGAATTATGCTTGTACCTTTGTATATAACTAGTGGATAGTTTATCAATTGTAAAGGATAGAAATACAGAATAGTTTTGAACTCTGATTTCTCAATTGTTATCAAATACTACTCCCAGAACATGCAATAATGCTCATACAGTAAAGATGTCCCCCTTTAGAGGAAAGTTGAAAATCTGATACTGAGTCTATGCTCAATAATACTTCTTTAAAACTAAACTGAACTGAACTTAAATGACTTGACTATGCTTTTTTGAAAATCTTATTTTGACTCACTGTTCTGAATACTCTTTTATCAATGCATTGAACTTACTTTAAAGACTGATTTGAAATCCTTTCTATAAAACTGTTTATGCTTTCTTTAAACTAGCCTTGTTTTCTTCATGAAGATAATGCATAAGAACTGATATATCAAGGCTTTCATAAAATTCATAATTAAATATGGTTCGTGGGGTGAAATAAGCATGATCAATGATTAAGAATCGTCCAATCAATTAATATACTGAAATAGACACAACAAAATCAATAATTCATGATAAGAAAGTAAGTAGAACCGTCGAATGTAGTAAGCCTTGGGCTTGAAACCCTAGTTGAACCTTCCTAACTGAAATTTAGATGCAGGGAGTGAGGAAGAGCTCATTAACTCACTATGATAGCCTTACATACCTTAAATCACTCTAATCGAAACTCTAAGTCCAAGAGGAACCCTAAAAGTCTCTTCTTGAACTTTAGGATGAGTTCTTGCTTTCGCTAGATATGAGAGAAAGATTTGATGTAGAATCTTATTAAGAATTTGTTATTAGAGATTGAAATTTTTTAGAACTAATTTAGATACATGAGAGTAACATACTTTGGTATTAAAGATGCAGGAGATTAGAGAATTTGAGAGAAAATAATCCCCAGGTCGTGCAAGATGAATTTTATAATGACCCACCGTCTTAACTTAATAAATAGAACATTTTGAAATCTAGACTCTCGAAAATTTGTTTGGTGCGTGTGGTACGCCCACCTGGGCTGCTGGAAAAATGGCCTAGCGTGGTGCACCCACACTACCAGGGACGCGGAGCGCACAATCAATTTGACATCTCTCTAGTAAAATCAAATAACGTTTTACTCAAGAGTCGGGTTGACGAGCGGTCAGTGACGTTGTAAAGAATTATTGTAGACCATTAATTCGATAGGTTACGGGTCACCTAAATCGTACTATTCTGAGAGGTATAGTCGTTTGAAGTTGACCCTTGTAGGAACTCATGTGAAAACATAGCTGATAGAAATGTTTTGAACTTGGCTTGGTGTTTGAGGTTCCTTACGACCCTAAACCATATCTGATATACTTACTACACTTTGTAAAGGACCTTAATATATATACACAACTTAGAATTCATTGGGTTCAGACCTATGCACATACAAAGGATGATTCGAATCTTTGCTTAGAAGTTGTTGGACGTTACATAGATTGTTCCGCATTTTTTTGTGTACTCAAAGAATTGTGACAGAAAGATGGAAAACACTTCAATTCTTGGCCGAAAGCAAATGGAAAGTCCTCTGACATTTCTTGATGTGACACATGTCCCTCCACTTTTAATGCTCCGAGTACGTGTCTTCCTGTGATTGGTTAAAAACCATGGCCGATCATCCAGGCAATGCTGATGTTTCTTTTCCAAAATCTATATATGTTCTTCCATTTTGAATTTACTTCCTTCACACCTTCTCCTTAGAACTTTCTTGTCATTCTTCCGACTTTCAAGTTTTACGTGAGTTTAATAAAATATTACCACATTCTTAACTATTCTTTGACTTGATTTATCTAGAACCTACGACATAATTACAACTTAATAGGGGAGGGTGGGGGGACAAAGTCGACAATAGCAATTTGAAGGCACAAACCACAATTGAGGACGATGATCATTGTTGGAGAATGAAGATGTTGGGTGAATCATTTTACAAATGACCAATGAATTTTTACAAATGATCTGATTTAGATTTTTATCCAAAAATATTAACCCCCTTAAGTTTTAAACTAAAAATCATTTTAGTTCTACATAAATGGAAATATTTATTCATGTGGACTGTTACTTGACATCTTTTTTTTTTTTTTAAATACAATTTGAGAGTGCACACTAGATACAATCATTTATTAAATGATGTGTGTTTTAATACATATATGGTTATAGTTTAGGTAGAAAAAAAGAACAACTGATAATGGAAGTGTGACTTGACCATTTAACTTTATTTTTTTAAAATGTCTACTTTCACTTGTCGAATTTAAAAATCAAGAGATAATTTATCAATTAGTTCTTGATAAATTGGACCTTCACCAACAAGATGAACAAAAGTTCATGTAATCAGCCAACTTAAATATTAAGATTTGTTCCCTCTAGTCCATATTAGGTGAACTGCCATAAGTTTTTTTCTTGTAGTTCAAAATACGTGAATTTTTCAAAGTTCAAGATATTTGTTAATTGGATTTTGTTTCTTCATATTTATCCTTTCTTTTAATGATGTTGTTAACTACTTTACATTTTTAGGAGAATAGTTTAGGAATAATAATAATTAAAAATAGCTTTTAATATTTGTCTTTAATATTTTTCTTTAAGAGGAGTGTTATATCCCAACAATTCACTTAATATAGACTAGAGGAAGTACTATTCATTTCCCTAATATATTTGTCAAAATATTGAATTAATTATATTCAAAGAATGATATATTAAATTTAGGGAAAAGGTACAAGTACACCCCCCACAAAACTATGACCGAAATCCCAGAGACACACCTTAACTAAACTAAGATCCTATTTACCCCCGAACCCATTTTTTTTTATTGTAAATTTGTACACCTTTTTGGCTTACATGGAATCCAAATATCTCCCACGCGCCTCAATTGCGTGGAGCCATGGAGTGTGCCACGTAAGACAAAAGGTGTACAAAATTACAAAAAAATAAAATGAGTTGGGGGGGGGGGGGGTAAGTAGGACCTTAGTTTAGTTAAGGTGTGTATTTGTAGATTTCGGTCATAGTCTAGGGGGTACTTATGCCTTATCCCAGTAAAATTACTCTTTTATTTATTTCTCATTAAGGAATGTGACAGGTGTGTACCAACTCAGACCTGAAGAGTATAAAAGTTCTAAAATACTAAAAAAAAATACCTATTACAGCCTTTGCATTTCACAAGGTTTTAGGGTTTTGATTTCCCTTTTTCCTTTGCTTTTGAATTTTCAATTTTTCGTCTTCGTCTAGGATTACTAGGAGACCGAGTTTATTCAAAGTCCTTAATCTCCTCAGGTATATACTCAAATTCAATCAGAACTTCCCATGTTAATTGATATACACGTCCTCACTATATATGATAATGATTTATACAATATATTTTTTCTTAAAGTAGGTAGATATACTCATTTGTGTCAGAAGCATTTTTATTGTGTTTTTTACTCTATGTTATTTCATGTTCTCCTTGATTGTATCGATGATATGAGAGTCATATCCATCACCCTTCGTGTTCACCATTCCAGGAAGGTGCTGACCACCTAACTCGAAAAGGGCTACCTCAGAAAAAGCTGCCTAGTTGTGGTAGAGTAAATACTACCTAGTGTGGAGCCGTCGAGGCTCTCCCACATTAATAGCTAGCTTTTACAGTGTGGAAGAATGGATATTTAAAGTCCCCAAAATTTTTATAAGAAAGTTATTGTCTATATATATGGTCTTGGGAAATGGATAACTTTTGAGTCGAGTTAGGTGCAAATGTTCATTAATTTCTTTGTATGATAAAGAGTAACATGGAAGCAGAATGTATCGGTTGCTATTTATAAATAGTTGATCTAGAGTTGGCAGATGGTTTAAACAGGACTCTCGGTGAAATAATAGTCGTGGCGGAAGGAGATTCAAAATATAAATTTTGAGATAAATACTAGAATATATACCGAAGATTTAAAAATATGATCTAAAACATATTTTGAACCCCATTTGCAACTACACTAGTATCTTCCCTTATGTCAAATGGGATTTAACAATTTACATATAACTAGGAAGATTATGTTTGCCTTTATTACATAGTATAAAATTTTAACGAAGGGGATAAAATTAATAACATTGCCAATACCTAGTTCCACCACTTAATAATAGTGCTAACTTCTAACTACCTATTCTAAATGGAACTGTCTTCTATAAATAGTACTTAATAAGTTTAATAAAATATATAGGCTAAGTTGATTGTTTTCTTCTAAAATTAGGGGGGAAGTAAATTCAATAATAGTGCTAACTGCTAACTAACATTTCTAAGAGATTAGGGGTGAAGTAAATTCAAAGCACAACATTAATGGGTTGAAACCAAAAATGTGTTGTATAATTTTTTATAGAGATTGTTTGTGCATTTCTGAAAGGAATTTTTTTTCTCTTATTTTGCTTTCTAAACTCATGAGAACCTTAAATTTGTACCTACTAAAAGGATTTGACACCATATTAGGACTGGCCTGTTGTGGGATCTACTAAAAAGAACCCTTCAAGGCCACTATTTATCTGATGCCACGAGTAATTGTTGGGTTTTAAAAGATGTGAATGAAATTGAAGAGTTGTGACTTTTATAAAGAGTTTTGACTTTTATGAAGAGTTCCGACTTTTCTGATGAATTGTGACTTTTCTGAAGAGTTGTGACTTTTATGAAACGTTACGACTTTTCCGTAAGGTTGTGACTTTTCTGAAGGGTTGTGACCTTTCTGATAAGGCACAATAAACAACTATTCACACTACCATCTATTGTCTATAAATAGAGGGGTTCCTCTTATTTTTCAGTAACAAATTTTTGAACTTCTTTCTTTTCTACTAAATGTAGTATTATAAGTGTACTTTACTTTTGTTGAGTGGTATGCTGACACCGTGATTTTAAGTATTGATACACCGGTGAGTAAGATTATTCTATTATGAGAGGATATATTCCATTAACCTAAGGTACTTGAGGGGACTAATTTCCTTAAGAAAACATTGTGCATTCAATGGACTCAATTTTCTTTTTAGAGAAAATATTTTGTTTATTATTTTTAATTTATTTCAGATTCTATTTTCTTTATTGGTTTTAAGTTTCTAGTTTTGAAAATATTCTTTAAATTTTGTTGTTTCTTACCAAGTTCTTCAAAATTATTGTTCTAAGTATCTTAGTAATTATTTCACACCAAAAGGTGGCTTTGAACTTTAGGTATTTATGTCAAGCATGCTGAACTATACACAAACATTCTGCTGATCATCTTTGATGTTTCCTTGGGAGGAGAGTGTTTTTGTAGCTCATCCTGAAAGGTCTAACATTTATCTTCATCTGAAGCATAACTTCTTCAGTGGAAAATTAGCTATCTTATTTTCCTGGAAAATATGCCCAACTTTTGGCTTTTCTCCTTCAGTTGTCTTTTTTCTCCAATATTTTATAGCCAAAAATGGTTTGCTTTCTATTGTGGACTTCTGACGTTTCTTTATTATTCTACGGTTTCAGACTTCCATTGGTATCAACAGAGTTAGAGATTTCTAGCTAAATGTCTGCCAAGGGGGAGGTTGGGGAGAGTCGAGCACGTGTTGTATATAATGGGAGTGCTTCTAGAATCAATGAAATTGGGCTTCAACTTTATCCAGTTTCTGAGTATGACTCTGGCGAAGGCTTACCATATGCTCCTGTAGATTGGCCATATGCTGGTGATAAGTGGGGCTGGCGGGCAGGGAAAAGAGTTACAAGTTCAGGCACCTTTAGAGATAGATATTTGTATCTTCCGAAGCATTTTAAGGATCCAAAATGTGGAAAGAAAAATTCTTTTCGAAGTAAGATTTCAGTTAAAAAGTATCTCCAGTCTGAGTATCCTGACATGGATATAAACCAATTTTTTGCCTCATTTAGTTGGATGATTCCTTCGAAGCAGTCGCCAAGCTCAAAAGGTTAGCTTCGACAGGGTTCTTTGGTATATAGCATGTACATATTTATTCGGTTGTTTGCATCAGCTAAAAAAAACACTTACCACATCTTTTTATTGACCTGATGCCAAATTTGTTTTTCTTTTTAATTAGATATTGATTTTGACTCAGATATGAAAGAGAGGACTACATCTTTAGGGACAAAATTGCAGTCTTTATTGTCTGATTCACCTATAAGAGCCATTACTTGTAAGGCTGGTAACAAAATTTGTAGCAGTTTAACAGCAGAAAATCCTTTTCCGGCCATGCTATGTGATATCTGTTGCAGCGAGCCTGGTTTTTGCCGAGACTGTTGCTGTATCCTTTGTTGCAAAACTATCAGTTCGGACTTTGATGGGTACAATTATATTCAATGTGAAGCAACAATAGATGGCTACATATGTGGACATGTTTCCCATGTAGACTGTGCTCTACGAGCTTACATGGCCGGGACAGTTGGAGGAAGCATCAATTTGGATACACAGTATTTATGTCGATACTGTGATTTAAGGATGGATTTGGTTCCACATGCTCTGAAGCTTTTAAACACCTGCACATCTGTTGCTTCTCGTGCTGACATCGAAACGATTTTGAATGTTGGCATTTGTATTTTGCGTGGCTCACAAAAAAGAAGTGGAAAAGAGTTGTTGCATCGTATTGAATCAATCAAGGCAAAGGTATAGCTAATTGATGAATTGTACTTTTTTTCCTTATGATGCTATATTTTTTCCATTTGGGGTTTACAGTTACCAGAATGACCAATTTGATAATCATATATATCTGCTTACGAAAGGCGTCTGCATTCAAGATGCATTCAAAATTGAAAGTTCTGTGGATAGCACTGGTAACTTCTCTGCCCTTTCATCATCTTGTTTGTGTTGATTTGTTACTTTGACTTTAATATATGCATCTGAACAAGACATTTCAGTATACGCAAATGTGGTTCTCTTTCTACAAATACGGTTTATTTCAGGACAAAAATATATACATTTTTTTATTTTTTTCAATTCAACTACCCTACAGTTTAGATGATTAGATAAAAAAACATATTATAGCTTGTTCGAATCAACAATGTGGTGCCTAATCCAGTCCCCTTGGTTTCCTTAAAGCTTGGATGTTTCTGATTAGACAAATAGCCTGTTGTGAACTCCTTGACATGAAATATTACCGTTCACTTGTTGGTAACATCCTATACTAGTATAGTTTTCTAATCTCTCATTTTCTTTTCTTTTCTTTTCACTAGTTAACTATATTAAATACAAAGTTTTTACAGGATGAAATAGTGACTAGGATAAGCGTGTGCTAACTTGTTTCCATCTTTAGAAAAGTCATTCTTCCTTGATGCAAATCAATCTTCCTTGATTCTGATAGGGTGTGCTTTCCTTCTAGTTGGTTGCTGACTCGTCTTGATTTCATTTTTATGCGAGTCAATCTTCTCGATTCCGGTACAATCATTTATCAATCTTTCTTAATTCTGGTAGTGTGTGACTTCCTTTCGTGTTTAGATTTATGCTTTCTTTCCACAAATTTTTGATGTATCTCTTTTTTTTCCTGCACAGATCATTTAGGATTAGTGTCATCATTACAACATAAAGTTAATAGAGCTAACAGTACATGTTATTTGGTTCTGCCTTTAGCTATACTACTTAGATTTACTGGAGCGTATCTGTTAGGCTGATATATCTAGATATTGTTGTTATTGTGCTTGTGATTCTTCTTACTGGGTTTGGAGTGCAACCATATTTTCTAAGCGGGGAAATGCAAGTTTAAATTGAATAATGGTGAGCTTAGTCAATTGACTTAGTTGTTGAGTAAAAGATGATTAGATATTATTTGAACAATTAAATTTAGTGGTAAAACTATAATGATATTCAACTTTACCGTTTGATTGATTATTTTATATTTCAACGACACATAGTTTATATGTGAATAAGTGACGTCGTCTAGCTAGAGATACTTTACGTCTAATAGTTTTATATAATGTATCTTCAAGAAATTGTTCTCTTTTTTTTTGTTAAATGATCAATTTTCTGTATATAAGGAAAGTTGAAATCAATTCTCAGCATGCATAAAAACTTTTCAGTAAATTTTTTAGACTGCCGATAAAGGAAGATCAATAGAAGATGCAGAGTGATTATGGCATAAGAAAAATAATTTAACCACCCTGATACTACAATACAAAAAACTTCCATATGTAAAGTCCAATATCCATATCGATTCCAAACTTGTTCAAGGTTCCTCCTTAGAGAAATAACTGCGTTTTAGGCAAAACTCTTCCTCATAAATTAGGATTTTAGTGTCCAAGTTGTAGAAGTGATCTAGCAGTTTCAAATTATCATCAGGAGCAAATTGCCTATTGAAGCTTCTATCTATATTAAGTTGTAAAAGAAAAAACAACGATGGATGTGTAATGTCTCATTTCTTGTGATTTTGTTTTTAATTGTGAAATGACCATTTTGCCTTTATGCATAGCATTTTCATGCTTATTTTGTATTTCAAGAATGGTTGGTGACTGGTGAGGTCCTTGATGCGATCAGGTGTGTTTTTGGTAATTTGATCTCCCTTGAGCAGAGAGTTCTTGATATGGTTGACTTTGGTCAACATTTTGAGTTCTGAGTGTCGGATGGGAATTCCATCAGTTTCATCGCTTTTGAAACGTCGAGTTTGAGCTAGTAGAGTGGTTGGTAAGGTTTTCGAGGCCTTAAGTTGAGAGTTGGGCGTTTAGGAAAGAAGCTGATCATTAGGCCTAAAGAAATGTCCGAGAGGGTATTTTTGTCTAAATGATATTTCTTTGGAAATCCAAAGATTTCATTGATTCTTGAATGTCGAGTGTAGTGGGGTAGCATATTTGATTTATTTTTATCGGGTCTCGAATAAATCCTAAGGGTTCGTTTGGAGATTTTAATAAGTTGGAGATTATATTGTGTTGCCCGTCTGGGTGCTTGATTATATTGTGTTTCCTGTGTGGGGGATTGATTTTATTGAGTTGCATGTGTGGGGGCTTGTATGTGTTGCTTAACCTATGTTGCGGCCTTACTTGTTGTTCTATTTGCTTTGAGAGCATGTGATTCATGAGTTGCCTGTGAGAGAGGCTTGTAATGCTATTTGACTTGTTATTCCCGAGTGAGGGGCTTAGTTGGAAACATTATAATGCTTTGAGTAAACAAAATGGTTTCGAAATGGAATTCACTTATTTCAAATAAACTATTTCTCACTATTTTTCATATGAGGGTGTATGTAATGATTCAACTGAGTTTTGAGAAATTTAGACTATTGATACATGTTGAGTTGATTATTGCCTCCATGTTATATATGTATTGTGATGCATCAATCCTCATTCATCATATCATGTTCTTGGGAAATTTAGAAAAATGTGGAGATTCATATTGAGAAAGAAAATGAGACACCGTTTTATATCCTTGACCACACTAAGGTGGCATGTTGATGAGATATTGAGATTGTGATTTGGTATATGAACTGTGAGTCCCCCGTGGGTCCTTGTGTGGAAGCCTTAGCTCGACAAGGTGCATATTACAGGTTGTGCGAAAACCTTGATTCAATCGTACCACCACATCATTGTATCATTGCATAGCATTAATCATTTGAGTTACTTGACTTGTTTGTGTTATGAGAATTGTTGTGACCTGATGCATTTACTTTACTCGCACCGTTCTTTATAAATTGGCGGCACTAATGCCAGAGTGGGACATTTTTGTATGTAGGTGGAAGCATTCCTTAGTTACTTTATAAGCTGATTAATTCCTTTTGCTCAGTTGGCCAAGCCAACTGACTACTTGTGGGTTGTTCTCACCACTACTTCTGAATCATTCTTTATGCAAATTCTTGTTAGGGTACTCCTTGTGGTGGCTGATCATTTCTAGCTTTGGAGATCTTTTCAGAGTGGTGGTGAGATCCAGTTTTTGGATCACCATTAGTTCCATCTGATATTTTCAGTCTTTATTTATTATTAGAGACTTTTGATGTATTTCATACTCTAAAGTTGTATTAGATGCTCTTTCTAATTATGCTACGTGGTTTTGGGATATTCTTTGTTGTTCTTTTCTATCGTTTGTGGCCTGACCACCCTTTTGGAGTCTCGTATGTGTGTTATTTTTGGATTACACACTTTTTTTGGGGGTGGGGGGTTGGAGCGTGTGGCATCATAACCTTGACTTTTGGATTGTAACAAAAGGCCTCTCAATTTGACATTGGGACTTATTTCAGGATACTCGAACAATGTTATCTCCAATTCCACCTGTCATTATTCCTTGAGAAGAGCATATCTTGTATTGTATATTTAAAGTAGAATAAATACCCAAACTCCATTCAACTATAGAATTTCTTTTAATTCTCATATCCAACTATATCTCACTTTCATTAGGACGCTAATAGCGTCAATAAAATATGAAATATTAAATATTGAATAATTGCAGGTAGAGGTGTTCACGGGTCGATTTAGATCGTTTATTGGTAAAAATCAAAATCACACCAAATTAATCGATTTTAAAATTATCAAAACCAAACTAAATCAAATATAATATACATTTATCGGTTTAGTTGTTGTCGATTTGGTTCGTTATTTAGTTATTGACCATACAAAATAAAATAAAATAAACTATTCATTCAAAACGTGATAAAGGTGATAACAATCCATTCAAAACCAAAAATAGTTAGAATGACTGACATTATAGAAATTTCAATCATTGAATTTACTAAAAATAAAGTTTTAAAATTCACCATTTTTACCTAGTCTAGAAGGAAAGGACAGTGACATTTTCAATCCACAAAAAATTGTCATAGCCACTAAAACCCTAAGCGTTTTTTAGAATTGTGTAAACTGATCTAAGTCAGTTTAGACCCCTAAAGTATTACTAAAAACGTTTAAAGATAATGGGGTAAGGAAAAGACCAAAATACCCCTCTTTAATTCGGATGAACTTTCCTTAATCGAACAGGCTGAACTCATACGGGAATATCTCCCTCATCCGGACTCAGATCTTAGCAAACTCGGTGGCGTTGGAAAGAGGACTCAGATACCTTTCATTTAATACCTTATGTGCCACGTAACTCATTATGTACCAAAAGTTATGGTCATTTGAAAGCTCAAATTAGCTCTTTCCAATTTAGTTCTTTCTAAAAATAGTTCTTTCTAAGATCGAGGTGTTACAATATCTCCCCCTTGAGAACATTCTCCCTCGAATGAGATCACTCTAAGTAGAACCTAGGGTGGAAACATCTAACACCTAGGTCAAACACCAATATGCAATTTAACACAACATACCATATCAACTTAAAGAGTGTTTTACAAAAAGTCATTACCTTGGTCTGGAATTTCTCCGAAAGAGAAGAGATGTAGGTATCTATTCTTCATATCCTCCTCAGCCTCCCAAGTAGCTTCTTCAATAAACTGATTCCTCCATAGGACCTTGATTGATGCAACCTCCTTGGTTCTCAACCTGCGAACCTGAAGATCAAGTATTTCAAAGGGTATCTCCTCATAAGATAGGTTGTCCTCAATACCAATATTTTCAGAAGGTATAATAAGTGAAGGATCGCCCATATACGTCTTCAACATTGAAATGTGAAACACCGGATGGACTGCTGCTAACTCTAACAGTAGCTCCAACTCATAGGCTACATTGCCAATCCTCTTGGATATCGTATAACGACTAATATACCGGGGACTAAGCTTCTCCTTCTTATCACATATCCTAACACCCGGGTGACACCTTCAAGTAAACTCAATCATCCACCTCAAACTTCAAGTGTCTTCTCCTAACATCAATATAGAATTTCTGACGACTTTGTGCTATTTTCAACCTTTGTTGAATAATCTTCACTTTCTCCATAGCTTGATGAACCAAGTCCGGTCCTATCAACCCAGCTTCACCAACCTCAAACCAACTAATAGGAGATCTATATCTTCTCTCATAGAGAGCCTCATAAGGAGCCATCTAGATTCTAGAGTGATAACTGTTGTTGTAAGCAAACTCAATGAGAGGTAAGTGATCATCCCAATTCCCCTTGAAATTGATAACACAAGCCCTTAACATATCCTCTGTAGCCTTAACATATTATTTAATAATAATTCTAAGATTGTGTCGGGTTGAAAAAATTGTACGACAATTTAATCCTAGATATCTCACCTTATCTTGCGTACCAAAATATATTGATAGAAGGAGTTTTATATTTGGATTATTGTCCATATTCCATTCTTTTTGGTAAACTACCTGATTATTCTCATCTAAAAGTTTTTGGTTGTTTATGTTTTGTCCATTTACCTAGACATGAACATCATAAATTATCTGCTAAAGCTGTGAGGTGTGTTTTCTTGGGTTATAATGATGTTCAAAAGGGATATATTTGTTACGATTCTTCTAGACGACAGTTGTGGGTTTCCAGACATGTAATTTTCTTTGAGCATCTGTTTGCTTACCTTATTACCTCTTCAACAAAATTAGACTCTGTCTCCTTTCTGTTCAAGTTTGAGAATCAGCAGGTACAAAATCCTACATTTCCCAGTGAAGACCCCAATGGCATTACTGATGATCCTGGTCAATCAGATGCATTTCCTACGGATTATTTAGTTAATAGTACTGTGTCACATAATTCATTGAATACCTCTTTCACTAACTCATTTGAAAACAATGATTATTCTGATGGTGAACCTATACCAAGTGACTAGATAAATTCTTCCATTCCTTCTCTTCGTCACTCTAAACGTAAAACATATGCCCCAGATCGATATGGATACTCTCCAGGTAGATACAGTTGATCGTATGCCTTACTTTCTACATTGAATTCTATTTTTGTCCCAACTACTTTCCAACAGACATCAAATCTTGACTGCTGGAAAAAGCAATGAAAGAGGAACTTTCTGCTTTAGAAGAAAATCATACATGGGATTTGATATCTAAATTGGCTGAAGCTTTTGTTATTAGGAGCAAATGGATTTATAAGTCTGATGGCACATTGGAGAGGTACAAACTCGACTAGTAGTTCAAGGATATAAACAAGAATATGGATTGGACTATGAGGAGACTTTTGCTCCTGTTGCAAAGATGACGACAATTGGTGTGTTACTCACTATAGCATCCATCAAACGGTGGAAACTTCTTCAAATGATGTGAAAAATGCATTTTTTTCATGGTGAACTACATGAGGTTATATACATGAAGCGTCCCCAAGGGTACAACCAAGCTCAACGTGTTGCCCGTCTTGGGGCTTGATTATATTGTGTTTGCCTGTGTGGGGGCTTGATTATATTGTGTTGCCTGTGTGGGGGCTTGTATGTGTTGCTTAACCTATGTTGAGGCCCTAATTGTTGTTCTATTTTCTTTGAGAGCATTTGATTCATGAGTTGCATATGAGAGAGGCTTGTAATGCTATTTGACATGTGTAATGCCCGAGTGAGGAGTTGAGTTGTCATGCCCCGAGCCTTGGCCTCAAGCGAACCCTTGGCCTGGCTTACTTAACTCAGCGGAAGACTATAAGCATTAAGAAAGAGATTCACATGCTAAATAACTCAACTGTCTCAAAAATGAACTTACTCAAAAAACTTAGAATGTTTAAAAGTCAACATTCAACTTGGCCAAACTGGCAACTTAAGTCTTAACATATGAAATGACAATGTAAAGACATCCGACTACTAACTGTCTATGAAGCCTCTTAAACAATGAGGGATGTCGGGACAGGACCCCCGATTATCCTAACATCTGAAAGACTAGAAAGTAAATAAAGGAGTCCTCCGGAATGCAAGGAGGCTTACCAACAGGCTCTGAATGTTTAAGCTGGATCAACAAGGAGCTGAATGCTAATCCGGGTTACCTGCATCTACATCAGAATACGATGTAGGCCAACTGGCATCAGTATATTGAATGTACGAGTATGCGAGTTGGAATGCTAAAACAAGATATAGGCTTGAAAGGATTCTGAAAGGAAACACTTACCGGACTCTTCTCAACTTTTGAATAACTTGGCTCAAAATGCAGTGTAAAACAACAATAATAGTGCAATTTATACAAAGCATTTAAAACAGTAGAAAACAATTAGTTCGTTAAAGAAAATGCAATAACAAACTCAACTTTACTCATATAATAAAGTAATATAGTTTCTGTGGGAGTTTCTCTAACCGAAAACCACCACTATGAGCCTAATTGGTGATACAGCGTCTTGCCCACGTTGCCAGAACTGTCCTATACTTTGCCATCATATAGAATGCTTAACTTAGTGGATCCACTAACTTAACTTATGTGATCATCTAAAAAGTATGACCCATTAATACCCATGATGGCTACATGGTTTATGGAGACTAGAGTTAATATGAACTCGCATCCCCATTTCGGTGCTCAATACTACTCCCAAAAATATACTTCGCTCAATGTTTTAAAACCACTTTTTTCTTTGGTTTGAGATAATTACTCAAAACTTAGTTTAAAAGCTCTCTTGGAATCGATGTTCCCTTTTCTTGCTCAAATGTGAAGACATTTATAAACTCTTTGGGAATACTTAGTTCCCTTGTAGCTTTTTGAGAAATGAACTCAACTCTTTACTCTTTGCTTAACTTGAAACTTAAGTCTTAAAACAAAGTTAAAACATTCGTTAAAGACTTTTGAAAAACTTTATAAACTTTACTTTGACTTGCTTCTTAACTTCTCTTGACTTTGATCCTAACTTTCCTTGAATTGAATTATGGATTCAAGGTTCATGATCTCATGTTTATGGATAATTTCATGATGTTTAGATGTACCTTAGAGTGTTGGAATCAACTAGAAAACATAGGTACATTGCTAAGGAACTAGTACGAAAAGATGGGGGAAGAATGGGAAGAACTGGCGTCCCTGGTTCTTTGAGAGGCGCGGGGCGCCAGCCCTTGAGATTCAGAGACCAATTTGGGGAGCTCTGGCTGGCACAGCGCCCCAGAGCTCAACAATCAGAGACCCCTTTTTGGGGCTCTGGGAGGTGCGACACGCCAGGACCCTCCCTAGGTGTTCCCCGACTTTTCTTCTTCGTTTTTCAACTCTAAACCCTCCTAATCAACTTAGTTCTTTCCCCAAACACTTAGAATCGATTATATCCTCAAGATATACCAGATTCAACTCAAAATTTCACCCGAAAACATGAATCAAACATTAAGCAAACTTCAACAACACAACCCACAAAAATTCAAACGAATTTCATCAAGAACTCAAAGGATTTACTTTCAAATCAATATAACCTTGCTGAATTGAATCATGTTTGGCGCGTGGGTGACCTAACCCAACGCTATATGATCTCACATACCTAGTAGGAATAAATCCTTGGCAAAAACCATAACTAAATGGATCGATCTTGATGAATCTTGCCCTTTCTTATTCTTTCTCCTCTTTTCTCCTTTCTCCAAGCCCTAGCGTAAATTTCCAACTTCTAAAACTAACTAAAATCTGATTTGACCCATATTAAACTCCTAAAAATGGATTAAAATAATAAGGCAAGGAAAAGACTAAAATACCCCTTAAAAATCCGGATTGGACATTTCCTTATTTGAACAGCCCAACTTCCAAATGGTATATCTCACTCATACGAACTCGGAATTGCGAAAACTTGGTGGCGTTGGAAAGATCATTCCAAGATCTTTCCAACCATATCAACAAGTACGCCTAAATCATCCTGAGATAAGAGTTGTGGCCGTTTGAAGTTGACCAAAAACTCACTTTTCCTAACTTAAACAAATTTCCAAATTTGTCACTATTTCCAAATACGATTATTTCAAGTTCTTAGCTTCTTCCTAGATATTTCAAATTGCGAGATTTTATAGTTTGAAACATTATAATTCTTTGAGTAAACGAAATGCTTTCTAAATGGAATTCACTTATTTAAAATGAACTCTTTCCCACTATTTTTCATATAAGGGTGTATATCATTATTCAACTGAGTTTTGAGAAGTTTAGACTATTGATACATGTTGAGTTGATTATTGCCTCCATGTTATATATGTATTGTGATGCATCCATCCTCATTCATCATATCATGTTCTTGGGAAATTAAGAAAAATGTGGAGATTCCTTTTGAGAAAGAAAATGAGACACCTTTTTATATCCTTGACCACACTAAGGTGGCAAGTTGATGAGATATTGAGATTGTGATTTGATATATGAACTGTGAGTTACCCATGAATCCTTGTCTGGAAACCTTAGCTCGACATGGTGTATATGACAGGTTGTGCGACAACCTTGATTCAATCGTACCACCACATCATTGCGTCATTGAATTAATCATTTGAGTTGTTTGACTTGTGTGTGTTATGGGAATTATTGTGACCTTATGCGTTTAATTTACTTGCGCCGTTCATTATAAATTGGCGGCACTAATGCCAAAGTGGGACTTTTTTATATGCAGGTGGAAGCGTTCCTTAGTTAATTTATAAGCTGATTAATTCCTTTTGCTAAGTTGGCCAAGCCTACTGATCATTTCTAGCTTTGGAGATCTTTTCGGAGTCGTGGTGAGATCGTGTTTTTGGATCACCATTACTTCCATCTGATATTTTTAGTCTTCATTTCTTATCGTAGACTTATGATGTGTTTCATACTCTAAAGTTGTATTAGATGTTCTTTAATACTTATGCTACCTGGTTTTGGGATATTCTTTGTTGTTCTTTTCTATCGTTTGTTGCCTGACCACCCTTTTAGAGTCTCGTATATGTGTTATTTTCGGCTTACACACTTTTTTCGGGGGTTGGGAGGGTTGGAGTGTGTGCCATCATAACCTCAACTTTTGGATCGTAATAATAGGCCTCTCAATTTGATAGGGGGACATATTTCAAGATACTCGAACAATCTTATCTCCAATTCCACCTGTCATTATTCCTTGAGAAGAGCATATCTTGTATTGTTTATTTAAAGTAGAATAAATACCCAAACTCCATTCAACTATAGAATTTCTTTTAATTCTCATATCCAACTATATCTCACTTTCATTACGATGCAAATAGAGTAAATAAAATATGAAATATTAAATACTGAATAAATTCAGGTAGAGGTGTTCGCGGGTAGGTTTGAATCGTTTATTGGTAAAAACCAAAACCACACCAAATTAATTGATTTTAAAATTATCAAAACCAAACCAAATCAAATATAATATACATTTATCGGTTTAGCTGTTATCGATTTGGTTCGGCTATTTAGGTATTAACCATACAAAATAAAATAAAATAAAATAAACTATTCATTCAAAACGTGATAAAGGTGACAACAATCCATTCAAAACCAAAAATAGTTAGAATGACTGACATTATAGAAATTTCAATCATTGAATTTACTAAGAATAAAGCTTTAAAATTCACCATTTTGGCCTAGTCTAGAAGGAAAGGATAGTGACATTTTCAATCCCACAAAGAATTGTCATAGACACTGTCACTCCCCTAGCCTACACCCTAGACGTGGTCGGCACTCAAGAACCATTGCTGGCCCCAAGCGAACCCTTGGCCTGGCTCAACTCTTAGCAGAAGACTTACTCAAGAATAAAGAAACCTCAAATATAACTTAACTCATAAAGACATCATTACTAAAATTAATTTAGCTCAATATAGTCTGAAATGTTCAATAACATAATTGTTTAACTCAAGTCTTAAACATTTAACAAAAGAAATGGAAATGACTACTCAAAACACTACTATCTATGAAGCCTCTAATGACAATGATGGAGGTC